TATATTGGAAGGTATTTCCTACATACCCTGCAGAAATATCAGAGAGTTGCTCAACTGATTAGTTGAGCCCTGGTATTTATTCTTTAGCCAGGAATAAACTACCTGCTTTTTCCAGCTTAACACATTGCCTAAAGAAAGAAGTCTACAGCAACAACAGTGTTATTGAATGCTGGTGTAGTCTTTAAGGGTTCCTAAGTGAGAAGGGAAATTTTACCATTGCTCCTTGGAGCCTCTCAGCAGAGCTATTTGCACAAGCCCTCCATAACTCATGCCAAAGCCAGACAGGTAAGGTTATTATACTGTTTAAGGCAACCGTGATGACTAACCGAGCGTGGCCTGAGAGCAATCACAGAGCAGCACTGTCATCAGATCTTGGGAGGCGACAGCTTTACCAGAGGTAGATCTGGAAAGGGACATCAATCTACAGCCTTGTCCATGTCATTATCCTTACACTGTAGAAACTCAAGTACAAACTTGCTCTGACTTACAAACACTCACTTCTGTTATTTTAAGCTATGCCCAAAATGACAACACTGGAATATCTTTCACTCCATCTGATTACAATGAATGTGGTGAGTAAAAACTAATTAAAAGAAAGAAGTACTAACAGCAGCACAACTCGATTTCACAGAATAAAAGAGAAAGCTGTTAGTGCTACAAGAAGCAATGTGCCTGAGACATCTTATACACATAACCGAAGTGTTGTAATCAGAACTAGGTGAGAAGACTGGCAAGGCTGACACTTCAAATGTCTTCTGTGCAAGGGAACACTTTCCATTTTATATTAACGCTATCGTAAGAACACTGGGAGTGAAAGTGTCTTTCTTTGTGAAAGCATTCCACAGTAACCTAAAGCAGTTATTAAAATGTCACAAAAACCTTCTCACCCTGTAATTCTCCAGAGATCGAAGCATTAACAGCTCAATCCCCAAGTAAATTCAATAGGCAGTAACAAAGGAGTCTCCAGTCTTCTCCTGTCCTCCCGCAGGCCATTGAAACAACTGAAGAGGGCCCTCTTGCCACCAGCAGTTTCTTTTTTACTGGCTCCGTAAGCCAATGTGGTAGCAAATAGGACACGAAACACTGTGCCTTCCACACCCCTTCTTCTGTCAGAAGTGGTGTGGGGCACATAACATGTCCTACACAAATGCAGAGCAGACAAAGGAGCAGTGCCTCTGAAGAAGTGGGGCAGAAATGTCAGGGCAGTAACAGCTTGAAACAACGTGCTTTACAAAACTTGCTCGTCTTGTGCTACGCAAGAAGTGAACTTCGACCACAGGTTTTTCTTTTGACCCAAAAATGAGCTACATCAGTAACACACTGCCCTCCTAGAACCATGGTGCTTAAAGAAAGCTGAAAGAGTGCAAGCAGTTCGTACAGCTGCAGTTAGTACGCATCTGTTTGGCTTGTTCTCATTGGCAATTAGCTTCAGAAAATCTAATGTGGAAGATCTGGTGTTAAAGGTGACGGATAACAGAAGGAAAAAAAAGCCACCACTGACAAGCCAGCGTACCAGAAATCAGCACAGCCCAGAAACATACTAGGAAAGTTAGCAATGGTGACAGACCAAATAGCAAGTGTGATCACAAACTTTGTTACAGATCAAAAGCTACAGAGACAAGGTGTCAATCAAGGCTTCTAGAAAAGGGCTTATTGATATCAGAACTTCATTCAATTAAGAAATTTTTAGATAGTAGCACCATCCATGCAGTTACCAGTAAAGCGTATCTGAAGTACACAGTGAGAGCCCTGACAATTCTACACAGCATACAACCAGCTTGTCTGCTTCAAGAAACTGGGAGCTGTATTCAAACCCACTCACAGCCCAGCTCTTCCCAGTGAGAGGCTCCCAGACATCTTGTCCACCCAGAGGAAGATAGATTCTGAAATAACCAGTGGGGATTGCATCCACAAATTCAGCTCGCTCCTGCGTTCCATTCTGGACTACCATCCCACCTTTCCTGAGCTACGCATCAGAACAGTGCCACTAAAACCATTTCCCACAAAGGATGGAAAAGAACAGCAGCCTTGTTCTAAGTGGGCAGTGGGAAAAAAACCTCACCTGGCCACAGAAGACCTCCTTTCTCCTCTGTACACAGACAGCAGCTAGTATACAATTCCGCCTCAGCAGAACAAATGTGGCCAATGCCATAAATGCCATACTTGAGTAAGGCACATATTTATAACACTCCTTCAAAGCTAACACTTAAGGAACACTTAAAGCACATAAAAATCTGTCATTGCTGTAGCAAAATTAATAGGAAATATTAACATTAGAATAATTTAATTGTCACTCAGACTTTTTTCAGGTCTATGAAAGCAGATATTATTTGTGGCTACAAATTATTCCTAGCTCTAGAAGACATTTCTACCAGTTACCATCACCAAGGTAATGAGGCACAACACAGGATGCACCAAGAGAGTAACTGCGATGCATGAATGGCCACATTTAGATACTGTGCTGTATTACATGGTGTTTGCAAATAGCTGTTATGTTCTTTCGGTATCAATACTGAAACACAACAGAGCCCTCAGGCATCATCTTACTCTACAGGCACCGGTCTTCACACACAAAGCCTCAGAAGATCCAGAAATACCAGTCAGTAAGATCACCTAATAAACAGTGTGTTATGGGGAAAAGCCCTTACAAGAATGATTACTTTTCCCTATCCTAGCTACAGCTCAGTGCAGTGAGGAATGACAGCTTCTGTCTGATAGGGTCTTCACCCATCATTCGGAACAGTAACTAGACTTGACACCATCCTTAACATGTAAGTTCTTTATGGAAAAACATAACCTTTGTGTGTGATTGCATACATGCAACTACTGACAATAGTGAAAACATGATGTATAATTCAGTATTGCTGAGAGCTGGTGCTGGAAGCCTGGAAACAGGGTAAATGAGGACCCTGAGCAGACAGGCACAGAATTCAACTAATGCCCTGCTTCTGGGAACACAGCAACCCACCGGAGGGGACAGAAGGACAATGGAAAGCTTGGGCCTCTGAGGACAGCTTCCAATTGCTTGCACTGGCAATCACACAGCACCTTACCTACCACTAGCAGGAAGTCCTGGTAAATCCACCAGTAGTTATCATTCTTCCTTAACACAAACAGCCTGGATGTACCTCACAAAGTACTGAGCACAGCCCAGTAGGAGAGAGCGAGCTTTATCTCAAGCACAGTGTCATGCTACCCGAAGAAATACCACCTTTGGTCTGGAGCTGGCTCCAACACACCCAACTTGTGGCAAAGTGTGGCTGCAGCTCAGTGGTATTTTCACATCACTCTCTCCTATTTCTGCAGTCTTTCATCTCAGAACACAGCAGTTGGACAGACAGCTTTTTGTAACCTAATTCCAACGCCTTAATCAAAACAAACAATTCATGCACTCATCACTTATCATTCCTTCAGCCTCACCAGAAGAGTTCGCTGCTCCTACAGAGCCCGCCTGCCTCGTGATTCCTTGTCTTGAAAACCTATCAGAAACATTTCAGGTTAAGACAATTTTTTCTTTCCTAGCACCAAGAATCTATTTTGGTGATGAACATTACACACTCATCCAGAAATAAAGTCTATTTCAATTCTTCATCAGAAAAAAATGAAAACACCTCCATCCTCGCACAAATTATGAACATGACTATGGTGCCTTTCATACAGTTTCTATTGGTATGCCTACTCCTCACCTATCCAGAACATCCAGTAAACGGAAAGCATTTCATTTATTCCTTGGGTTCTTACAGATTACCGTACAGCCTTACTAGAAATGCCCACTGAGGATTCAGTCCTTGAATCAGCATATCAATGGTGGAAACGGGACACAAGGAAGAAGCCGGACTGCTGTCACTGGAGGCACACATGGAAAGCAATCCCTAAACTGCTACTTGCTTGCAATGCAATTTTAAATACACAAACCAAACCTAATGGTTATGATTTCAAGTTGCTGGAATATCAGTCAACTGAAATTTGGACACAACAAGAACACATCTGGCCAAAAGCAATTGCAAGTTAATTCTAACTCCTCTGGAAACAATTTGCTTCTAAACCAACATGCTGTAGTATTTGAAGGCATGGTGCCAAACTTAAAATACCCTCATTTCTTCCTGCAGTAGGCATGCAGCCTTCTTTAGAACCAAGCACGTCGATAACTTCCATACGCATTGATTGCCAGGTCCCCCCAAAAACGCAATTCCTTCAGTCTAAGGACAGATGAAAATAAAACCTCCAGTAATTGAAGGAAAAAATAATAAACCTTGATAGGTGAGGATTTCATTCAATTCAGAATTAGACTGCGACTGGACAATACAACCAGGTACCATTACAGCTATTATTCCCTTTAATTTCCAGAGCACGGTCCATCTGGGGCTGATTTTAAGACCTTGCTGTACAACAAACACAGCACAGCACTCCGGTCTGCAGATCCCAGCGTCCCCCATCAGTCACCGCAGAAATCAACAGCGACACGAGCTTTATTTCACAAAGCGCCATTTTATTCTGAAAAAAACCGACTCCCAAAGTCAACCTAACCTTCCATCTCAAGCACAAATAAGCGTGCTCTCGTATTTAAAAGGAGAAGAAAAAAAGAAATAAATAGCTGCCGGGCTCAGGGCGGCTCGGAGCCGCGCACGGATCTCACGCCGCGCTCCGCCGTGCCGCACGGCCCGCCCTCGGCCACCCCCGCAGGGCAGCGCCGGGCCCGGCGGCGCGGGGGTCTCGGGCCGCGGATCTCCCGGCAGCGGCGCCATTTTAGGAGGCGATGAAAAGGCGGGAGGCGGGGCCAGGCCGCGGCGCTGCCCGCCGAGGGGCCGCGGCTCAGGCAGCACCGGGCCGCGCGGGCGGCGCCGAGCGGAGCCCGGCGGAGCCGAGCGAAGCCGCCCCGCAGCCCGGCGCCGCTCCGCCGTTCTCCTCACAGCCTCCTCCGCGCCCACCCGGCCGGGAGGAGCCGCCCCCGCCCCGCCGTCCCCGCGGCCGCACGCCGCCCCCCCCGGCCCGCCGCTCACCTTCTCGCACAGGCTCTTCACCTGCCCCTCGGACAGCTGCTTGCACTCGTTGAGCTGCTCCACCCACTGGTCGAGCTCCTTGGTGAACACCTTCTCCTCCATCCCGCACACGCCCGCTCGCTCGCCCCCTCCTCCTCCTCCTCCTCCTCCTCCTCCTCACCAGCTGCCGCCGCTCCTCCCGGAGGCCCCGACAACGCGCTGCCGGCGGACGCAGCACAGCAGAAGTTACGGGAGCGGCGGGCGAAGCGGCGCCCTACGCACGGCAGCTCTGCCGCTCTCTCGCTCGCGCTGCCCGTGTAATGGCCGCCGCCGCTGACGTCACAGCCCCAACTACACTACGGGGAGGGGAGGGAGCCGCCATGGGAGGTGACGACGCGTGCGCAGTGGCTAGGAGGGACCGCGCCTGCGCGCCATGGGTAGGACCGGCCCGACCGGCAAGACGGCACTCGAGGCTGCGCATGCGCAACTCCGCGCGGCGCATAATAGCTGGAGGGTTCGGGGCTTGCGCACTGTGAGTGGGGTTATTGCGCATGCGCGGGCGGAGTATGGGTCAGGAGGTTTTCCCGCCCGCAAGGGTGAGGCTGTAGGCAGGTCTGTGCGGCAGCGTCTCGGCTCCGCCCGCAGCCCCGAGGAGGTGGGAGAGCTGTGAGGGAGCGGAATGCAGGGCTGCCTTCCTTGGGGGAGCACAGGTCAGGCACGGTGCCCGGCCTCCTGAGGTCTTGTAGGGGGAGAGGAGTGCTTGTAGTTGTGTGTGGCCTGCTGCTGTCCGTGCGCTCGTAGTGCAGAGCGTGGTTATTGCAGACCTGTGGGGATGAGGAGCTGGGAGCAGTGGGAGCTGGTGGGCCTCTGTGCAGGCAGGCACCTGCTTCATAAAGGAAAAGGTACCAGTAAGAAATAACGTGTGGTGAAAAGGAGCAAAAGAAATGTGAATGTGTGATCTGTAGTAGAATATGTATTTTAGTGGTCTTCATCTTAAATAACAGAGGTGCTGGCTAGCGTGGGGTTTCCCTACAATAACTTGCAAAGTGTCTGAAATGATCAGTTTAAAACAAACAAACAGAAAAAAAACAGTAAAGTGAGTCAGAATTTGGACACAGTGTGCCCTTTTGGAGTTACTCACTCGCCAAAGGCTTTCTGGTTAGTAGGGATTGGTTGTCTCCTGATAGGGAATGGGAAGGGTTAAATCCTTTGCCTGCTATTGAAGCAAAGAAACAAAATAGTGAGCAAAGGGGAAAGAATGTTTGTTCTCACTGATCAGTCTCGGTTCCTTCACGTCACGCTCTCCCTATAAGATGTGCATTTTTTTTGGCATGCCTTTCTTCAGGTGTTCAGTTTTTTTCCTTGGTGTCCTTTCCATGGCTTTGCATCCTCAAATGCCTGTGGTTTTGTACCTTAAAACTAGAAGGAAAAGTGTAGTTCATTGAAAAATTGCAAGAATTTGCTTTGTGGCACTGCTTCTTCGGTACCTCCCAAATGATCTTGAACAAATAAATGGAAAGAACATAAGGCAATAACATTGTCTCTTATTTAACTTGCTAAGTTAAAGTTTATTTTCTCTAGTAATCGTTGTTCTGGCACAGTAAGATGTTTAAAGACCATATTTAGCTTTTGTTTTCATAGAGATAGTGGAATTCCTAGTGAAACCCAGATTCTGAATTCTTTCTGATGTCAATGTTAGTTATGTCCCTGACTACAAAAAAAAAAAAAAAAAAAGATATTAATTACTGCTGCTCTTTTAATTTACTTTCCACAATATTCAGAAAAAAAATCCAAACCAACAACTTTAGTACTCTGTGCCATAGTCTCAAGAGAAATAAGTGCTTCAGCACCTTGCAGAGGTGTTTCAGAGCAAGGAATTCCCAGCTGGTGGGCAGCCACTTGGGGCTGTTGCTGGTCACAGTTCTGCTTCTTCAGCGTGCCGCTTCTGTTGCCAGCAACAGTGAGTGATCAGAAAAGCTAAAGAGGAGAAATAAAGCCTTCTCAGCAGCAGGAAAATCTTACTTGCTTATGAAACTGCAACCAAAGTCCTGTGACGTTTTATCTGATATGTGCAGAGAAAACACACGTAATGTGTGCTAGGCAGTGCTCCTTACAGATAACTGTGATTGCTGCTGTCTTTAAAGCAAATGTGGTGGCTCCCAAACCTGCCATAGATTCACAAGAGTCTGGTGTTAGAGTGCTCTGCTATGAAAAGGTTTTTTTTTGAGAAGGCAGTCATAGCTCTTAGCTCAATGAAGCACTGCTTCATTGGGTGTAGGGAATTCATTGTTCTTTGCTTGCAGCTGGAGCTGTGCCATTGACTAGAAGAGAATTCAGGACTTGGCACAGCAATATTTAGGATCCAGTTATCTGGGTGCTCACGTAGAAGGGGAAAAAAATTGGAGTTCCATCTAAAACAACTAGCTCTATTCTTTATCCTTGTGTTGTCTCAGCCTATAAACTGCGTTCGGATCAGAAGTCAGATCTATTCCGCCTGCTTGAGAGTCATAATCAATAGCTCAGTGAATTGTGGTTGCTTTTCTCTTCTCTCCCAGATAGTTATCAGAACCTTCAAAGGAAAGGGAAATAATGAAAGAATGCCTGCTGCATTGCATAAGTTGGGGGTTTGGCAGTCCTTCAGATACGTGGCAAGATTAAACTGTAAACTGGTAGGAATAACACTTGTATTTAGTATTTGTGCCAGGTTGCTGTGTGTGTGGTTTGTAGCTAAGGAGATCTACTGGGTGTGGCTGCTGTGATGATTCAAGGATTGTCCTTACTGCCATGTGCAGTCCTGGCTCTTGAGTCACTGACGAGTGTGTCATCTTATGGCATTTCTTAGGAAGGTTTACTACTGAAGCTGGCTGCACCTGTGCTTACACACATCAGATTGATATTCAACTTTTTTTTTTTAACAAAACCGTATATGTTAGTGCAAACTAATACTGTAACAGCCTAAAATGAATCTCAAATTCATTCACATGTATGTTAGCAATTGCAATTGTTTTGTCAATTACTGCAGTGACACCAGCATTTCCTTCACAGTATAAGACATCAGTCAGTGTTTAAACTATGCAGAATTATATTGCAAGGCATCACACAGCTAAATGAACATCATTTCGATTGGCCATTACAGAGTAAGCAACGTGTAAATTAGATCTCTTCATATTTATCTGTATGTGAATACTTTACCAGATCTAAATTATCTGCCAGTGCATATCTGAAGTGTCTGTTGCTATGGTGTTTCAGTGCTAAATGCAGAGTTAGAATATTATGCTACATTATCTAAAGGTGGTATCTCTGGATTATAATCTAGAGTTAATTTCCTAAGTTAATGTGTGTGGGTTCCTTGTTTCTTGTGTTTGTTTGTTTGTTTTTATCAGCAAAGAGTGTAGAAGTTGATGCTTCACTGTAGAAGTCATCTGCCTCTGGGGGCAAATGGACTTTCCTGATCAAATTAGGCCAGAAATACACATCTTGTGTTCAGACATCAGCCTCTTCCCAAGACAAAATACAATGTGTTCTTTGTCCCATTGGTCCCCTTTAGTTAGATAATCTTTGTGATTCTTAACAGAATGATTGCAAAAGATGAGAACTAGACAAAAAGCTATTTGTCAGATTTTTGTTACGTCAGCATGAGAAAATATGACTTCTTTATGTTTGACTCACTTCAGAGTCCAGATAGTGCATGACAAATCACTGACAAATCAATAGCACCCTTACATTTAAGACTTCCATTAAATGGTTTCTGTGAAGGGCAATAATCAGTGAATACAAATACTTCATAGTCCAAAGACCGAGGGAAAGGTTGCTCATTCACAAATATTACATTTTTAATATTTTGCAAAGCTGAAGTAATTCTGGAGAGTTAGGCACTTTGCAGTGTATTTCCACTACTAAAGCTGCATCCACTGCTGATGAGTACAACTCGTGGTGCCCTTGGGCACTCAGCCGGGCTCTTCCTCAGTTCTGAAAATGCTGCACATCATCATAAGGTGTTAAAATCTTTAGGGCACTTTGCAAATACTACCGCTGCCAGGACAGACACGTTGCCATTGTTGCCAGGTAGACAAAGACATTATTTCAGCCCCATTGAGGGGACAGTAGTTAAGTAACCTGCCAGATATGATGAAAGCATTTAGAGTCAAGTTCAGCGGATACCTGGGGACATGCTTAAATTCCTTCCTTTTAAACCAATACTGTAAACATCTATGAAGTGCCGTGCTAAGTTTCTGCCAGAGGACTTGAGGCTTTCTGGTGCTCCGTCAGTGCTCAGATCAGCACAACTCGCATCATAAGTACTCTGTTTGGGAAAGCTCTCCTTGTCTTGAGTCTTTTATTTCTATAAACTATATTTAAGCACTCAGGAACACAACACATTATTAATACACACAATCAGTAGTCATGGATATGTGAATCAAGCTTTTTATTGTTATATCTTTGCTTCTTGTGCTGGGATACTATGGAGTAACCACTGTCTCTGGCTTCTAAATGATTGGCTTTAGGAATCCAAAAAATGTAGGACTTGTAAGAGGTGTTTTTTTTCCCCAAGTTTCAACATCATAGCAGAGGATTGCTCTGCTTGTTTCTGTGAGATCTCTCACACAATGTGACAACTGAATTAGGACTAAAGCCAATGCATTCCTAAGAGAATGTGTTTTCTCTCATCTTGGAGCACAGACTTAAGGAAAATTGTGGAAACTAATCCAAAATAAGGCATTTAGCTAACGTAGATCAGGAGCCTTCAGGTCTGTAATGAAGATTGTTTTATTTATATATGAGGCTACAATTCTATTAAATGCCTATAAATCCAGGAGAACTGAGTACCCTTCCTGCAGATCTAAGAATGTTAAGCTTGAACTATCTGAGATATTTTACTTGTGCCTGACTGTGCCCTTGTGAAATGCTGTGATAATGGGGAAGAAGTACACAATGCAGTTCAGCCAGCAGAAAGGACTCTTACCTTTATCCTCTGATTCTTTTTCTTGTCCTGGAGTTCCAGTTGCACTTAAGACAGGCAACACCTACCCAGTGTAGTCATTCTGTAGCCTATTTATTTGAGTGAATGAGGGAGATTTTCTGCATTGTAGCCAATGCTTTTTTTCCTTTTTTCCTCTCTCAGATTTTTACTGCTACCTTACAGTGACTATCCTATTGACCTTCATCTGGTTCAAGCAACTGGAGAATTAAATTATAACAACTGCAGAAAGGATTGGAGCAAGAAAATGTGAGCTATTCCTCCCCCACTTTCCTGCCAGGTAAATATGTTTTCTTCGTAGCGCTGCCAGAGTGTTTTAGTGTAGGAAGCCTGAACCCAGTTGGGGAGAATTTTACCCATGACTTCTAGAAGCATGTTAATACTATACCAATGTTGTTTTTTGAAGATACCACAGATGTCTTGCATGACAAAACAGGTGCACACAATCTGCTAAAGGTGCCTTGCTAAACTACTGCCTTGCCACTCAGCTCAGTGTCAGTTCTCAGCAGTGCAGTGTCCTGGCTGCTGCTTTAAATACTTGCTTTGAATAGAGAGACAGAGGAGGGAAAATTTCTTTTGAAATCTATTTGTGTATGTGCTAAAGGACAAGGGAGAACTGTGTTATATTCACTGCATAGGAACATTTATTCTTAGACCCTGATATTGTTTCACTGGGGTTAACAAGTGTATTATTAGTGATCGCTAGTTACAAATAATAACCTGACCTTATTTTTAACCTAATACTGAATCAGATTTCACTGTGGTAGATTCACTGCTGTGCTTCACTCTTTGAATATTATCATTAAGAATTTCAGTGCCTTCCATTTTAGATGTTAAAAATAGGTAACAAGTTGGATAATAATTATCATTTCAAATCTTATTGCAGCCTTACATAACTGCGTTCTCACCAAAAGCCTTATTTTAAGGGTTGGGTTGAAGAACATACTACAGTAACCTGAAATTATTTGCACTACTGTAGCTGGGTTATGCAAAGCCTGGATAGAATATATCTTCTTTTTTGAAGAAAGTTTGAGAACCAGTTTAATATTCATGAAAACAAAGGTGCACAGACTGACTCAGGTCTGGCACTGTAAAATCATGTGTTGTCAGCACCTCTGAGTCCTTAGCATAAGCATTCTTCATAATCCTATGTTGCCCAAACAGAAACTCCTAGTCATGCCATCTCACTGCCAGTCAAAATATTTGCGAGTGCAATAATGGTAAATATATAAACATGCAAAATAAAATAACAATGGTAAATTACCTGGGGAGAGAATATCCCCAGGGGGATGGAGCTACACTTGATAAACCTGAGTTTCTTCATTACTAACTCTGTGTTCTTACATGAAGTATTGTTTCCAGCTTTCCTAGCTAAAACTATTTACCCTTGCAGCCTTGAGCCGGGCCACCTTCCTCAACCTTTCCTCATAATTTCTGTCAAATTCCCATGACTTGGGAAAGGTAAAAAAACAAAACAAAACAATCAAACAATCAACAATAAAAAAAACCTGGAAAGGGCAGTGGTCAATCCTGAGAACAAAAGATATCTCCTTCATATGCACCAGACTTCCCAGTTCTCCCAGTGATAACTGTAACAGCAAACCCTGATCTCTCCTCTTTGAGTAATACATTTTACTTATTTAATCTATGGGATTTAGTGTTCCTGCTGCACCTCATAAGGTTTGGAAACACTATTCTAACTTGAGAAGCTTTTCTCTCGAAGGAGGTGTATAATGACAGTACAAATTTGGTTAATAAAATTTTCTCATCTAACTGAAGAACAAGAATTTGACTGTGAATTGACTTGTTAATCTCTGGTAAAACTGGTAGATGGTAATGACAAAGCTCTCCCCATTTCACCTGGAATTGGAATCTTCGTAACCAAACATCTAATTTTCTTTTCTATAAATATACTATTGGTGGTAACTGAGTACATTCAGTAACAAAATAGCACCCTCCTGTTAACCTTGGAGTACACATGTCCAGTACATTTTATTTCATGTGTGTTGTACAGGTGCTGCAAACATGCACTTAGTAAAGCCCAGGCCAACAAATCCTGAAAGCTTACAGGTCCAGGCTGCCCAAGTTCATGCTGCTCTTGAGCTGTGTTTGATGAATAACTAGCTGAATTTTCTTCAGGCAGTAGGCAGTAAGTGCATCCAAAAGCTGTCAATTTCAAGTTCAAAAGCAGAAGCTAGTAAAAACCTTACTTGCTACTGTGATACACGGAGATCCAGATTATCAAAATTATAAGATAAATTATTCTCAGCTGCACAACTGAGTGTAATCTACCATCCTGTGTTGCAGCTGTTTCTAGATGTAGCCCCGCAGTCTACCTTTTCATGAAGGGCTCTCTCTTTCCTGAGTATAGTTACACTTCCCTTAAAAAATAGTATCTGTTACAAAGGAAGATCATTCATATTTGTACTTCTAGTATTCCAAGCAACTTAATTGGTTCAGCTACTACTGTTCAGATTTTTTACAGTGTCCAATTGGAGGCAGCAGACAAACTTGCCAAAATGGAACAGGAATTATTCTTGTGTAGGTAGTATACCAAGTGAAAGAATTTCCACAATAAAGTTGTGTATGTTGCAGTAGCCTTAAGATAGGGCTGACTTCTTTCACAACAAGTTCTTCTGGTTTTGTATGACAATTTAATATGCTTCTGTTTTCCAGAAAGTAACTCTTGCTCTTTCTCTGTACTATGTAGCCAGTATAGCAGCTACATGGAGATGGAAGATGTCTCTTGTATCAGTTCTCACTTCCCCTTCTGTGAGGTGTTACAGGAACTATTATAGATGTTGCTGGTTGAATAGTTTCATTTATTATTTGATTTTTGTTTTCCTTAAACTGAAATGCACTTTCTTCAAAGTGTGAGTTATCCTTAAGAGGAAATTTGTGACTTCTAGGTGAACAAACTTATTATTTTCTTATGATACAAATGGACAAGCTTTTGGGCAGCACCACTGAATGCAAATGCTTGCCTTTTGTTCATGTGTTTTAAATGTAAATGCTTTCTACGTGAGAAGAAGTACATGTAGATATTGGATAGAGGAGAGCCTATGATGTTAAAAACAAAACAAAAACAACAAACCATACATCTGCTGGAAGAGAGTAGCTGTAACACGGCTTTTTGTTTACTGCTTTTCTGTACCATCTTTTGCCCCAGAAGACTGTAAGTGTTCAATGGCTTGCAAGCACAAAGATAAATTCACTTATCCTGAAAAGCAGTTATCTCTAAAATGAAAGCCACAGTGCTGGACAATAAGATTTTTGGGTAAAGGAATGAAAAACCATTTATCCATTTGAAAACTACCAGTGCCTGTATTTAAAACCAGGATGATACCAGCAATGCATGGCTTTACTACCAAGTGAAACCATGTATGCAACAGCAATCAGGGTATGATACTTACCTGTGTATCCAAATCACTTCTTTCTGTGATGAGATTGTGAATGTTCTTTTTTCTTTTTGTAATTAAAGAGTGGAACAGATGGCAAAGACTTAGAGGTCTCTTCATTAAATTAAAACAGAGAATGTTTCCACATTATAATTTAATATAATAGGACTTTGCTTCAGTGAAATAAAACTATAGAGTCTAGTGCTTGGGAATGTTTACTATATGAGAAGCTTCACTGTTAAAAGATTTCACTGAGTCATGCTGTGAGTCTCTGCCAAATACCAATCATATGACCAACTCAGTTAAAGAGGGTGTTTCTTTATGCCGATATGTTTCCATTGCCACCCTACAGTGAACCTTTTTTTGACAGTACACCTGTGGGTTTTATGTAACACCAAAGGCTGTGGCCTGATTGCATATGTTTAAAAAAGAGTAGATACTAACAAGCAAAAGCTAGCTGGCCTGGTATTAAGAACTGTGCAACAAATGGAGTTGGGTTTGATGTGATTTGAAAGGTAGAGTTATGGCAGATAATGTAAATCAAACATTGATGTTCTTAGAAATCAGTGAATGTTTTGCCAGTTCAAGGAGTCAAGATGCTACTCTCTGGATGGCAACCAGTTTCACAAGTTCAGTCAAAGTTTTTCATTTCGTTTTCTTTAATTACTGTGGTTAAGATAGATGAAGTCTAAGCAGCAGTGGGCAATGCTAGGCTTTCCTAAATCTAAAAAAAATGTACACTCAGTTATAAATATTTGAGTGAAACTTATCTAAGCTCCATTTTTGGGATCTTATTATATTTATATAATATTATATTATTGAAATTATATTATTATTATTGAAATGTTTTTTTAATCCATGGGAAGTTACAGCAATTGTTTTGTACTAGCCATTCTTTGTTCTAGCAAGCTCCATCTTTAGTTACAAAGTATATCCTACACCACTGCCACAGTTAGCAACCAATACATTGTCTTCTGTGTGCAATGACTTTTCCTCTTGTAATTAGGCACTATGGCAGAGATAAAACAATCAGGATGGAAAATAGCATCCCAAAGAACTCACAGACAGACACAACACACAGACTCACAGTGGGCAAAGGTATTTCTGCTTCAACTCTTACTGCCACTAAAATACGCTGCAAATTAATCTATCTCAGTGATTACCGAATAAGAAAGTTAAAGGGACAAGCACATGTGCCATAGGAAGTTTGAGTTACACTTCTCTTCACTATAAGCTGTGAAATTGCTGTTGTGCTGTGTGTGAATAATTGAGAGGTCACGGAGGATTATGTGGACATTTATGTTTCATTCCGGCTTATGTGTGTTCAGTGATATCAACAACATTGTTTCCATCTTCAGTAATGCTGCATTTGTTTCTAAGACTTACTGAAATAATAGTACATTTGTTAAATGCCCACACTGATCTTTTACTGAGATCACAGTTTTTCAAATTTTCAGCATTGAAATACTGAAACATTATCTTGAACGTGATGAAGCTTTTGGTACAATGTATGGAAATGAAGAATAGGGTGGATCATAGTTTGAGCATTTAAGGCATTCTATCCCTCTCAGAACAAAAGCAGAACAATACTTTAATATCAGTGGATTTTGTCACGGAGCCTGATACTTGGTGCACCTCCTGCTGCGTGAAACAAGGAGAATTGCTCTCTTTCCTCCCAACCAGTTTCATTTTGTCAGCAAAGGTGAACTTCATGTATATTTTATCTATAAACTCTTAATGGAGGAATACCCCTTACAGTGACTGTTTCTCACTTCTGCACTGAAATTGTCAGCTTAAGGTTTCCCCCCTTACAAAAGCAGGGGCTTCTGTTTTTGAGAAGCATTCACACAGTTAAAGACTAGATGGTGTTACTGAATGTTTT